ACTCCAACTCAAAAAAAAAAAAAAAAAAAAAGATGCTATAAACATTCATGTAAATCTTTTTGTGTGAACATCATTTTCATTTATTTGGGATAAATGCCCAGCTGCTTTTCTTCTTTTTTAATAAACTGCCAGACTGTTTTGCAGTTTGGCGAATGACTGTACTATTTTACATTCCCACCAGCCATGTATGAGTGGTCCCATTTCTCCGCATCCTCATCAGGATTTGGTGTTGTCATTGTTTCCGATTTTGACCACTGTGATAGGTGTGTAATGGTATCTTGATGTGGTTTAGTGTGCATTTTCCTCATGACATCTTTGCATGGCTTATTTGCCATCTGTATCTCATCTTTGATGAAATATCTCTTTGTAATTTTTGCTCATTTTCTAATTGGATTTCTTTTTCTTTTTCTTTTTTTTTACTGTTGAGTTTTGAGGTTCTTTGTATATGCCAGATACCAGTACTTTTTCTGACTTTTTGTGGTTTGCAAATATTTCCTTTCACTCTATAACTTGTCTTTTTATTCTCCACACAGGATGATTTTTTGGGGGGGGGGGCAGAGAATAAACTTTTAATTTTGCCAATGTGTAAGTTTTTAAATTTTATTTTATGGATTGGGCTTTCTTGTGTTAAACCCAAGAACTTTCTGCTTCACCTTAGATCCTAAAGATTTTTCCCTTACTTTTTCTCCAAGTTTTATAACTTTACCGTTTACATTTAACTCTATAGTTCGCTTTGAGTTAATTTTTACATAAGGTGTTAGACTTAGGCTGAAGTAATTATTATTGTCATTATTTGCACCTATGAATGTCCAATTGCTCCAGTACCATTTGTTGAAAAGGTTATCGTCTTTCCTCTATTAAATTGTTTTTGTGCCTTTGATAAAAATAGGTCGAGCTGGCCGGGCTCGGTGGCTCAGCCTGTAATCCCACGCTTTGGGAGGCTGAGGTGAGTGAATTGCCTGAGCCCGAGGGTTCAAGACTTGCCTGAGCAACTTGGCGAGACCTCATCTCTACAGTAAATCAAAAAAATTAGCTGGGCGTGGTAGTGCGCACCTGTAGTTCCAGCTACTTGGAAGGCTGAGGTGGAAGGATCGCTGAAGCCCAGCAGGTCGAGGCTGTGGTGGCCGCTCCACTCCAGTCTGTGCGACAGAGTGAGACTTCAACTCAAAAAAAAAAATGGGTCCAGCATATTTGTGTGGGTTTATTTCTGGGCTGTTTATTCATTCCATTGATCTATGTGTTATCGCTTTGCCAATACTGCTCAGTCTTGATTTCTTTATAATAAATATTGAGTTGCATAAATTGATTCTTCTTAGTTTGTTCTCCTTTTTCAAATTTTGTTTTAGCTACTCTACCTCCTTTGCCTTTGCATGTAAATTTTAGAGCAATCTTTTCTATGTCCATACAAATTTTGCTGGGGTTTTGATAGAAATTGCAGAGACTGACATCTTTGCTATATTGTCTTCTAATCCATGAACACATTTTGTCTCTTCATTTACTTAGACCTTATTTGATTTCTTTCATCAGTGTTTTATGATTTCCAGCAGACAAATTCTAAACATGTTTTGTTAAATTTATACGTAGCTATTTGGGGTTTTTTTGAGTGATTGTAAGTGGCAATATTTTACATTTTGGTGCCCACATGTTCATTGCTAGTACATAAAAATGCAACAGAGTTTTGTACGCTTATCTTGTATCCTGTGACTTTTCTTAACTCAATTATTAGTTCTAGGAGGTTTTTATTTTGCTTTTAGATTCCTTGGAATTTTTATGTAGACAATCAAGTCATCTGTAAACAGGAAGAGTTTTAGTTCTTCCTTAGAAATCTATATTTACTTCCTTTATTTTCTTGTCTTATTGCACTGCCCACAACTTCTAGGCATTATGTTGACTATAAGTGGTGAGGGCTGCCATCCTTGTCTTGTTCCCACTCTCAGGGAGAACATTCAGTCTTTAATCATTAAGTATAATGTCATCTGTAGTCTTTTGTAATGTTCTTTATTGAACTGAGGACATCCCCTCTATTCTTTTTTTTCTCAGTGTTTTATCATGAATGCTTTGCCTGCATTGATGGACATGATCATGTGATTTTTTTCTTTAATCCATTAATAGGATGGATTATACTGATTGATATGCAGAGGTTGAACCAATCTTGCAACCTTGAAATAAACCATGCATAATTCTGTTTTTACATTGCTGAATTCTATCTGTTAATGTCTTGCTAAAGATTTTCACATCTGATAGTCATGATGGATGCTGGTCTACAGGTTTTTTGTACTGTCTTTGTCTGGTTTTGATATCAGAATAATACTAGCTTGATAAAATAAGTTAGAAAATGTTTCCTCCTCTTCTACTTGTATATAATCGGTATTCATTTTTTAAACATTTGGTAAAGTTATCCAAGCTATCTGGTCCTGGTGATTTTGAAGGAAAATTTGAAATTACAAATGCAATTCCTTTAACAATTATAGGACTATTAAAATTACCTACTTCACATTGAGTGAGCTGTGATAAGTTTGTGCTTTTTGAGGCATTGGTCCATTTCATCTAGGTTGTCAAATTTACGTTTGCAGAGTTGTTCATAGTAGTCCTTTATCCTACTGATGTCTGCAGGGTCTATAATGATATTCCCCATTAATGTCTCCTTTTGGTCATTAGTGTATTTGCTCTCTCTTTGGCTAGTCTTGCTAGAATATTGTCAATGTGACTAATATTTTCAAAGAGATGTCTGTGTTTCATTAATTTTCTCTATCATTTTTCTGTTTTCAATTTTATGGATTTCTACTCTTATCTCTATTATTTCCTTCCCTTTGCTTGATTTGGGCTTATTTTATTCTTAGGTAGAAGCTTAGAGGTAGGAGCTTGGATAATTTATCCTCAAGGTAGGAGATTCTCAAGATAGGAGCTTAGATTATTGATTTGAGGATAATTCTCCCTGCTAGTTATGCAGTGTTGTAAATTTCCCTCTCAGCACCACCTTAGCTATGTTTCACAAATTTTGACATGTTGTAATTTCATTTTCAGTCAGTTTAGTGTATTTTTAAAATTTACATTTAGATTTTCTCTTTGACTCCATGAATTATTAGATGTGCATCGTTTAGTTTCCAAGTAATTTGGATATTTTTCATTTATCTTTCTGTTATTGATCTCTAGTTTGATTCCTTTGTGGTCAGAAAAAACACTCTCCATGATTTCCAATTCCTCTAATTTTGCTAAGGTTTGTTTTATGACATAGGATATGGTCTATCTTAGTATATGTTCTATGAACACCTGAAAAGAATGTGTATTCTGCTGCTGTGGGGGAGGGTGCTCTGTAGATGCAGATTAGGTTCTATTGGTTCATGGTGTTGTTGAATTCTTCCATAACCTTGCTGATATTCTGTCTAGCTGTTGTATTGATTACTGAGATGGGTGTTGAAGTCGCCAGTTATCCTTGTGGTCAGCCCTATCAGTTTTTGCTTCACATATTTTATATCTCTGCTGTTTAGTACACACACATTTTGAATTGCTATGCCTTCCTAATTGGCCCTTT